TTAGTAAATTATTTATTAAAACGAACATTTAACTGCCATTAAAATTTCGCTAAAATACTTAAACACGCCACGCTAAGTGCCAAAACTTTCACCTGGCGCTAATTTGCCAAACAACTGTAGGATACTCGAAAGCGTAAATAAATTTTCACTGGTCAAAGATGAAATAAAATTTTAACAAATTCAACCACAAACAATTACTTCAAGCAACGAAATATGTTTGTCTGCAAAATAGCCATAAAACCCAACAAAGTGGCAAACCGTGAAATAAAATCCCATGTAATTAAAATTGTATGCTAAATGTAAGCAAAAAGCAACAATAGCAAAAAGGTAAGGGCAGCAACGTAAAAGTATACGCAGCACAATACTAAAAACCCCACAACAGCAACAAGTAAACAAGCAGAAATAACAACAATAGAACAGGCAACAACGGAAATCCGCAAAATTTAACAAAACCAAAACTAAATCCGCTCTCAAACTGAAATATCTGAGGGGGGGCCGAAATGTAGTTTAGTGACAGCTTCAGCTGGACGCGCAACCCACTACAAAATGACGGATCACGGTTGAAAGTTTGCATTTACTTTAGTTAGTTTAGCTTTATTGTTAAATACGAGTACGCTGGCTAGGAATTGTGGCAAGTTTATGGATGCTTGCGATTTTAGAGTTGCCACAAGCTGCCTTAAAGTTAACACTTTGTCATGCGGTTAGCTACAACCGCTTTTCACGTTCAGCTTTTTAGCTTTTTAGCTTTACTTGACATGTATGACGTAATTTTAATTAGTCAAAACGAGGAAGGAAATCGCTTCATACCTTTCTTGAATAAAATAAAAAGTAACTCGAACCTTTTATTTATTATATTTGGAATCAATTGGTTGGGAGCTATACATTATACTAAATTAATCTTAAGTATTCTCACTCTGAACTTATGATAAGCAAACGAAATACACAATAGAGGGCTGCATGAATTCATTCAAAACGGCTTATGAACTATTCATATACAAAACGAATGAATGATTTTTGCTTTACATTTTTTGAATTTTAGTGAATACCTGCTCTGGTATATAAACAAAATGGATATTCATAACTTACGATATTCCAAACGCTGAGTGTTTTTTATGTGAAGTGGAATATTCAAATCAACTGTACTCTGTTTGGCTAGAAGTTTGAATGAATTCATGCAGCCCTCTAGTACACAATCTTACGGCCACCTTTTGATGGTTAAAATATTTGCAATTGAATGGTTGATGAATGTCGTTTGTAGAAGGAGCAAAGTATGATATTGTAAAGTCATTGAATCTGATCAGCTCTCTGAATTATGCTGACGTCGATGCTTTTCTCATCGATTAGAATTGACACATATTGAGTGCCGCAGATTAATCCATACGCACCTTCCCTGAGTCAGAGTCGCCGTTTTCGATATTGCGATCCCTCAAAAACTGGCTCGCTTCGTCAATATCTGCCATGTTGTCTACATCAAATGTGGATTTCGGTCACCGCTTTTGACAAGGCCTTGAGAGACTTTTCGCAAGTCGTCAACCAGGGCTGCCACTTTTTTTTACCAAAATCGATAGACTAAATTTGGGTTGGTAAAAGCGTAATTTTTTTCATCTTAGTACATTTTTGTTAAAGTATTTTGTTTATAAAGCAAATAAAACTTTCCATTCCCACTTTATTTTCCGCAGTGTTATATTTATATTATAAATTGCTTTCCAAAAGTGTAGTCCATTTTATTGCATTAAATTTTTAACGCTTTTGTGCACACTTTTTATATACATTGAGCCGTAAGCCCTGGCAGCTAGTGCTCCTTTTTCTGTGTAATAATAATTGTATTATTATTATACCTTTCATGAGCATGAAATGGTATTATAACTTTGGTCCGATGTTTGTAAGTACCAGAACAAAAAGAGATAGACCCATTAAAATGTATACTTATATGATCAGAACGTCGAACTGAGTTGATTTATCCATGTCCGTCTGTCCGTCTGTCCGTCTGTCTGTCTGTTTGTATGCAATCTAGTCTCTCAGTTTTCGAGATATCCGGATCAAATTTGGTAGGTGGGTGTATTTTTATAATGTATTAATCATTTGTCGGAACCGGAAGAATCGGACCACTATAACATATAGCTCCCATACAACTGATTGTTCAGATATGAGATTTTTCGTTATAACTTCTCCATTTATGCAGCTACGAACATGAAATTTTGCAGCACTTGCACCCATTATCAACAGAATGCTTACAGTGAAAATTACAAAGATCGGGTCACTATAACCTATAGCTCCCATACAACTGATTGTTCAGATATAAAATTTTCCGTTATAACTCCTCCATTTATAAAGCTGGGAACAGGAAATTCCGCACTGTTTTCAATAATTATCAACAGAAGACTTAGAATGAAAATAACGAAGATCGGGTCACTATAACCTGCAGCCCCCATACAACTGATTGTTCAGATATGAGGTCTTTTATCATATCTCCTCCATTTATGCAGCTAGGAACATGAAATTTCGCACCATTTTCACTCATTATTAACAGAATACTTACAGTGGAAATAACAAGGATCAAGTGACTATAACATATATGTATCTTCCATATATCTGATTGTTCAGATATGGGATTTTACTGTTAAACTCCTTTATTTGAACGGCTAAAGCTATTGAAACAGCTACGATAAATTTCGTAAGATATTTCATAAATAATAATACAAAGTCTACTGAGAAAATCGTCAAAATCTATGCTGTATAAGCTTTATCTCCTATAGCACTGATTGTTCAGATACCAGTTTTTGCGATATATCTCCTTTATGTAGGAAACTAAACCCAATAAATTGTGTTACCGGTTTACATACCGATCGCATAGCAGTGAAAATCACTTAGATTGGTGCCATATAAAGTATATCTTCCATACCTCTGATTGTTTAGATGCGATTTTTTAAATAAGTATGTAACTCCTCTATCGATGTATGCAGATGTATTCAAAATCAGTAATCTGTCAAACTGAAATTTGCAGATGTTCATGAAAGGTATGAAGCCTTCGGCATAGCCGAAGACAGCGCTGCTCTTACTTGTTTTTCATTTAATAAACAAATAAAATTTGTATATACATGCATACGTAAATTAAAAGAAATTTACAGTTATGTAGTTACACACTATGATTATTCGCAAAAACAAGAATTGAACAAATCAACGCCAGCTTTTAGAAATGGTAATTGCTAAATGAAAAAAAACACACACACACAAAAGACCGGCGGCAAATCAAAAAAAAAAAAAAATCAATAGAAATTTTACGCTGCACATTGTTGGTTATACTAAAAATTCCATGGGCTATAAAACTGCATAAGCAAAAGTTCTAAAAATTGAGAGTAAAAACTTCCAAATTTAAATAAAATAAATAAATTTAAACACATTATCAGATAACCTGATCAACAGACAGGTGTGAACACCCACAATACTTAATTTTTTTAATAAGTTGCAGAGCAAAGCTACCTTGCATTGACAGTAAAAAGAAATTGAAAGTGTCAAAATAGGTATTTGCAAAAAATAAAATTATCCATAAAAATATTTAGAAATTAAAGTACAGACTTTTTAAATGCAAAACTCTTAAAGGAGCGCAGGCTCTACCTATGGTTTCTTCTACACTTTATCTTAGAATTATCGGTAGTATCCGAAAATACCATACGATTTAGTAAAAATCGAATGGCCCACACTAATGTACATATACACCGTGCCAAAAAAAAAATAAACACATTACCTCTCATATTAGCAAAAGCAAGCCTATAAACAGATGTATAAATGTAACAATCTTAAAAAACATAACTTAAAATTTAAATTTGGATCATCTGAAATAATTACCTTCTTTCCAGTCATCCACAGTCCATGATTGGTGGGGTTTGTCCCTGGCTCTGGCCAAAAGAAGTTTCTTTCTGCAGGTCGGTGGCAAATAATCCCAATTAGTTAAGCCTACAGTGCTAGTGCTAATTTTTATCGAGTGAGGATCTTCGAGTTTCTTCTCAGTTATCTCGCATCTTTTCTTCAAACATAGTTCCAAACTCCGATCCTCACGCACAGTAGTTTTTTCTTTCTCTCTTCTTTCTTTTTTGTTTGAATTTTTTTGGTGAGCTTGAACTAAAAAAAAAACGACCTACTGAGCTTAGTTAAATCCACGTTTATCTTGGAGTTCAAACTGTAGCTTTACTTTAAATAATTCACTTATAAATGGCTTATCGTTTGCTAAAATTTTAAAACTACTTAGTCTTAATGTGGACTCAGGCAAGAGGTATTTGAAAAATTTGATTTGATGTTATTGTTCTGATTCTGTAGTTTGGGAACTTTGTTGCAAAGTATATGAAAAGTTCGTGCATCTGAAATTGTGACTCACCTTTAAGAAAGATCCAAATCAAACAAAAGACAACTTATTTTCTGTCCTACTCTCATATGCATACAAAGTACAAAAATATCTATAGTTATATGCGCACGATTAGAAAATCAACATTGCAATGAATCCAATTCATATTGCATTTCCATGTCTAGATATGCATGCAATCGATTGAATTGTTACGCAGCTCTATTTGCCGACTGCAAATTAAGTATGTTTTCTTTACATAAGCACAAAAGCGCATACACATCCAGAAACAAATTGGAAAAGTTTTAAAATATTTCTATTTCATAAAAATGTAAATGAGACAACGATAAAGTGAAAGTGGCTTGGAAACAGATGCAATTGGCAATATAAAACCACAGGTGCAATAAAATGTGATTGCTTTTTTACGCATGCACTGACTGACATTTTTATGAAGGAAGTATGTTTGCATGGTTGCTGTTGCATTTACACGCAAAACTGATAGATGTATATACATGCATGTAGTGTTTAGTATGTATGTATGCTTACAAATCTTGAGTGTGTAGGTGGGTTATTCTACATAGAATAATAACTACGTACATAAGATACGTAGGAGATCAATAATACGTTAATTTCTTTTTATTTAAACAGAGTTACACGTTCGCAGAAGCCAAAATGGTAATGGAAATTGTAATGGTACTGGTACTGGTAATGGTAATGGTAATGGTAATGGTAATTTAAATGGTACTGCTTCTGGTGATGGTAATGGTAATAGAAATGGCCATGGAACTGGTAATGGTAATAGTAACGGTAACGGTAATGGCAATAATAATGACAGTGGTAATGGTAATGTAAAGGTTAATTTTAATGGAAATAATAACGGTAATGGCAATAGCAATGGTAGTGGGAATGATTATGATACTGGTAATGGTAATGCAAATTTCAATGGTAATAGTAAATGTTATGATAATAGTAACTGTAGTGGCAATGGTAATGGTAATGGGAGTGGAAATTATAATGGTACTGGTTATGATATTGCTCATGGTAATAGTAATGATAATCGCAATGGTAATGGTAATGAAAATGATAATAGTAATGGTAATGCTTATGCTAATCATTAGCGGTAATGGGAGCGGAAATGGTTGAATGCTGTCGTCTGTCTTGGAGAAAATTCAAATCTCAAACGTAACTTAGATAATTACTTTTAATGAAAAACGGTATTTGTTTGCTGAGTTTCTAAAAGACTATCTAACCATCAAAGAACAATAAATTTATATGCGTGTGTATGTACTTAAATACTACGACGCTACAACACTCATCAGCGGTTCAGCTCAATAAGTGACTACATACGTACATATTTATGTTATCATTTACAAATTTCTTCGCTGCGTCAAAAATCATTTACAGCAAAATTCACAAAAGCAATTTAAGTGAAAAATGATTTTAATTTTTTGAATTTAAATCATTTTTCACTTAAATAGCTTTCGTAAAATTGGCTGCTAATATCCAAAATTTTTCTTCAAACAATTTCATACGCTCGAAGGCATTGTTATTGAAGTTCTTAACGCTTGTAACTATAACTGTAAAAAGCTAATGGATGCCTCACTTCATTTTAAGTAAAAGCTTTTGGTGTGTATTTATTTAACTACTTAAATAAAAGTACGTGCCAACGCTTCTTTTCAAGCATAATTCAGAAAAGCAGGCAAGAAAAAATTACGACGTCACAAAAGTACTTGTCATACATACATACATACATATCTAGCTACACGACAGTTGTCACATCCATGCAAAACAATGTTAAAATGTTGTCAATAAACCAGCAGGCATGTTTCAAAAACAAACAAAAGTTACAAACGAGTAAATGAATGAATAAAATATAAATTTAGCAGTTACTCATGCGACACGTAGGCCTTCAGTGTCTTTTGCATGCATGTCTATTTCTGTGTCTTCAGCGTTGGCGATGTTAAATGTCAACAACAGCAGACAGGCACACAATACAAACACGTACATAAGTGAAATGCCATGACAGGCAGGCAAATGCATAAATAGATGTGTGGAAGAATAGACACATATGTACGTATGTAGATGTCTCCTTAATTGTCTGAAGATGAAAACCGATTGTGCACGCAATTGTTGACATGATGTATGGATTCTATATCTTAAAAAATACCTCGTTTTATTTCTTGTTAGAACATCGACAGATAACTTTATTTTGTGTAAATATTTTCTTGGTTATTTAAATATTGTGAGAAAACCATGCCGGCGTGTTGGTGGCGTTAAGGTTTAAATTTATAAATGTAGATATGTACGAACAGTCAGTGCCAAATGTAAGTGTACATCATGTTCTAATATAATATTAACACTTATTTTCAAGAAAAAATTGTTTCATTAATTATTTATGAAAATATAGATTATTCTATAACATTAAAAATAAATTTTGATCACGCGTTATATGGAAGAAAACGCGCAATACCCTCCACAAAAAAAATCTAAAAAATCAACGAAATCGAAAATTTTCTAGAAATTCTCAATAAAAATTTTGATGAAAATGTTTGAATTTTTGTGAACTTTATATAAAGTGTGAAACTTTGATTTATATGATGTATGTTATAGAATAATCTATATTTTCATAAATAATGAATGAAAAAATTTTGTTAGAACAAGGTGTGCACTTACATTTGGCACTGACTGTGTATCTGTATGTACGGTGGCAAGAATGTAAATATGAAAAATACATTATTTTAGCAAGTTTTGGCAACTTTTCTTTGTTTAAAAAAAGTTTATTATTTTTTTGTGAAAATATAGCCTATTATCTAAAAAAAACACAATTTACATCAAGTACATTTTGTAGGCTATTAAATTTTAGTACAATAAAATACAAGTTTCATTGAACTGGGACTTAGCGTTGATGTTTGGCAATTGTTTGTACAAAATATGCTCGGCAATTTTTTTACATGGAGAAAATGAGCAACACCTTCCACAAAGAGAAAAAAAAAATTGCCAAAAATCAACGGTCAGTCCTAGCTACTAAAATTTGCACTTTGTTGCACTAAAATTTAATGGGCTACAAAACTCCATACTCAGATTGTTTCTAAGAAACCTAGTTAAAACGCTACAGATTTAGAAACTTTGTCGAATTTTTCTAATATTTTACTTACAAGACTAAGACAAATAGGAATACAAAAATGAACCGAAATTCATAGAAAAACATACGAAGACCAAAATGAAGATGAAGACAAATACGAAGATTCCCTGCATGACTTTTTTGTAATAAAATTTTACAAAAACATTACTCTTGTTGATTTTTCATCACTCCCCATTCTCTACTCATTGGTATGTACATATGTATATATAATCTTTAAAAAAGACAAACCGCAAAAAGGATGTAAACGACTTTTTTTAAGTTTTCCTTTTGATGCAGAAATGTTCCTACAGGATCTAGATGCATTTCTACATAAAAAAATAAAATAAATTAAAAAATTGTTGCTTACGTCTTTTTGGCAGTTAAGTCTCGACTGGCCTAATGTACACAAAATTTTTTTATTACGATTTTTTAAATTCAGTTCAATGCGGCCCATAAATAAAAACTAAGCAATTGCTTTTTCTTAAAATTTCTGAACTTTTGCTCGTTTTTTGCAAATAAATTTATGTAAAAGGTCTACATTTTAAGAAAAAGTAGTTACTTAGTTTTTATTCGTAAGGCCCAATAGGAATGAAACGAATATTTCTGATATGTACATTAGGCTGTATCACGATATATGGGCCGAACAATTTTAATTTTTTTCAGGTCATTTTGAACACTCACAAGGAGAGTACATATATTGTTTTTTCTTTCTTTAACATTTTTATTTGATATCCGGTTTCTATAAATGATACATCGTTGCAAAGGTATTACGAAAATCTACCTACAGTTGTAAGGGGTGATATATCTAGAACTTCTTTTTTTCTAAATAAAATACTTACACCATAACTGGATGTCTGAATTGTTATTATTACCCGAAAGAACAATCTCCGACATTTACTTTTTGTAAACAATTTCATTCCAATGCTGGCCGCAGACAGCACATAACCGTCAATGGCGAGCGCTACCGCACCACGATAACGAACTTTTTGTTGCCTGGAATTGAAGCCCGTGATGTCGACAATATTTGTGGTTTCAGCATGTTATCGTGCCATACACACCTTTGGATCTTTTTTCTCCGGGGTTCTGATTTTAGTTTGACGCTGCAAATCTCTAGCTCAGCGCGAACTCGGTTAAAAATGTATTGCAAGATTTGTTTACACAAAAGTGAATGCTACTAAAAGCTTGTAAAATACAGTGCCTTAAAAATACCTTTCCTGTTCAAAACTTGCAAATCGCCAACATGGAAAAACCAAAAAAGACTGTTTATAAAAATTAAATTACTTTTTTCTTGGTGCAAGCATGTGTGGCAAGTTGGAATAAAATTCTCTGAGAGTCTGACTTTCTACTATAGCTACTAAGTTTAAGCTACGATAGCAAACAAATATTTTTCTTTTGGATAACTTTTAAGTATAATTTTAAACAAATTGGTTGCTCAATAGTTTCATATTTCTACCAGCTGTGACTTTCAAACAAAAGTTGGATTTTAAGCAGCTCAAAATTATTTATAACACAGCCAAGAACATTCTTATCAACGCACACGTATCATGCCAGAAGATTTATGTTTTCGGTTATGTCTAAGCAAATCTGATTTGATGTGTTGCCACCGATTTCTATGATCATAATTTCCAGTCACGTTTCATAAGTACATACAACAGAATTGAGATGGTAAAATTTCACACGCAAAATACCACCGCTGGCAGAGATTGGCATCGTAAACGCTTGCAATAACAAAGCATGCATGCAATAAATTCTTCAAAACCTGACACAGCCAGGTGAGCTAAGTATATTTCGAAGCGTATGGCGGAGGCGTTGTAAGCTGAGCCAGCATTAATTATGGCACGAGTACAATAAGAGTTGGGCTGTAAACTGCCTGTTTAGTGTTAACATACGTGCTGGCGCCTGTAAGTATACCTTTTCAGGGCAATACATTAAAACCAAATACACTTTAAGCATTCCCGCAGTATGCCGGTAATTTATAATGTGTCTGCAAGTAAGCCAAGAAAATGTTGGCAATATGATGCGGGCGCAGCAGTGTAATCATTAAAAACAACTGCAGCAGCATCGAATTTCTTTACGTATACACACATACATATGTATTTATGTGTATGTTTAGTATATGTACGTGCATGTGTGGGCGTATATGTTTTTCGGTATGTTATCAAATCCTGTCGTGCATAAATTACACAAT